TATTTCCTGAGACGACTTGATTTTAAAACTGACTTGAATCTAAATAAGTGTACATACATGAACAATTGTTGTTTCATGTAAAAGTACATACATTACTTAAATATACTAAGTCTGGTTAGCATACAGTTATAAATATAATACTCATAGATTGTAGTTTGTATACACCGGTATATTGTTATCACTATCTGATTTTCCTACACTACACCATATCAGAAATGTCCAGTTTTTACCACAATCGTTATCAGTGTGAAGATTTTCATCCCTACAAGGAGACCAGTTCTATAATATATGCTCTCAGAACTTTGGTCTGCAACAAAAGACCTTACTTTACATCATGAGGATTAAAAGCAAACTAATATCACAAGTTTGTCCTCGCTTGGCATTGCAATTATGTTAGATTTTATTACTTAAATGTTCTTTTTGTTTCTTTCATAAAAGATTGATTGCATGTTGTTTTACGTCCCATTCGAGAATTTTTCACTCATATAGAAACGTCACCATATACCGGTGAAGGGCTTCAAATTTTGACCTTTACTCGGCACTCAGGGCCATTGAGCAGTGAGGTATCTTTATCGTGCCAACGTCTGCCGTGACACGGGGCCTCGGTTTTTAAGGTATCATCCGAAGGACCCACAACTTTCACTTCAAAGTGCCGAGCGCATGGCGAAGTAACAGTTGCTACCCATTTTTTATGGGCCGAGATTCGAACTCACGACCTCCCGATTACGAAGCGAGCGCTCTACCGACTGAGCTACCGCGAACGGTCTCTTTCATAAAAGAAGATCTGAAATCATTTTAAGCTTGTGTAAAATTAATTTTAATACTGTAAAAATGATGAGAAAAAAACTGGTAAAATAAAAACGGAGAAAAGTTCTGAAAATTTTGTTACGGTATGTCAATGCAAGACAACCTGTCTGACTTGTAATTGACTTCTTCATAGAGCAATAGGATTAAGCTTTTCATCAAAATTATGATAAAATGTCATTTTTGCATTGACAGCTTCCCATTGTTGCACCTTTTGTCAAAAATACATTTTACTGATAAACCTGTATCTAGTGAATATAATTATTCTCAAATCACATTAAGTAATTGAAAATGTTTTATTTTCAAAAAATTGATGTGTTATACACATGTACACATGTTGACATGACGTCCATCTTTGTGTTTCAATAAGTGTTGACTTATCCCCTTGATGTAGTTTGATCTGTCAATTTTCTTGTTCTTGGACTGAGCGCCATCATCACAGGCCCCTATAGGTAGAAGCGTCCCATTCTTTACTGTGGCCTCAAGAAAAATCAACGGCACTGTAACACTTCCCTTTCCTCTTTAAGTCTGGTTCAACTCAAAACACTGTGATAAATAAGTACTAGGATGTCTTGAAAAATAAAGAGAGCTTCTAATATATATTATATTATATTCCAATGCATGGTATCTGCAAAGTCTATGCACATACAAATGCTGAAGCAGAACTGACTTTTTTCCTTTGTAAAAGAACAATGTTCAAAGAGCAAGAGCCACTTAGGGCCTTTTTTGGCACTGAGAGTTACTGCTTAGTTTTGGTTGAAGATGCAGTATTTTATAACTTCGACTCTTGGTGACCGTGTATCTATTGAGTATGACGTAATTTTCTCTCTAGTCAATGCATTATGACGTCATAAAATGTGTCATTTTCCCCATATCCTGTAAATTTTCTTAAAAATGGCCAAAAATTGAGATATTTTATCAATATTTCATAAAGAGCACAACCTCTGATCCAAAATATGCAATTACACAATGAAAGATCTGTTTCTGAAGATCACAAAACATGTTTTAATTTTTGGATCGTGGGCTGTCCTCATATTTTAATTCTTTGCTGAAGATAGTCAAATACGCATGTTTTCTGCAAAATTCAAGAACATTGGATTTCCTCAAAGCCTGTTTTCCAATACCTGGATTCTCAAAACGAAATTTTGTTATACGAAATGAAAGCACTAAGTCTCTACTTTATTTTGATATATGAAATGGGACAGAGGGTGATAGTCAATTAATTGATATAAGGACAGGGCATTTTATGCTTAAAGTGGACCTAGCTCTTTATTATTATGGAAACAAAATACCTGTTTTCATTGCATTCCTGCCAGCTATATAGTTAGGATCATTGAAATCACTGACCCATGGCTTTCCTCCATGACACACTGAAATCCTTGGGAGAGTGAGAAACATTACGTTTGCAAGAATACAATTAACTAGTAAATTATTCTCATTTTGTCAAAAATGTTTTGCTGCTGTTTAGATATTATGAATATCAGGGCTTTGTACTCAGTAATCCTGTAATCAAAAAACAAATTATACCTATTTTAATATTAAAGTCTACAACATTACTACTTACGTACAAAATTAGAAGTATAAATTAGATTGATATATTTTTTTTTCTTCATTTTAATGATAAGCTGTAAAAGCCTAATATGTGTTTGCAAATAAAATACTCTATTTGTTTCTGTGAAATTTTCTTACAAAACCATTATATATGTAATTCTTAAAAATAATTTCAATTTCGTACAGGGAGGGGTGTGAACCAGAATTTTAGGGGAGAGGGTGTATGGCTGCAAAAGTTCTACCATGTATGGACAGTGAGGGGAATCTCCAACGATGCATTAAATTAAAATGTCCTCCTTTCTATTGTGTTTTCTATTCTTCACCCTTCATACACTCCTCCTACAAATTTAATACAGTTCATGTATATTACAGTTATCCTTGAACCTACAAATGAAATACAAATATACTCCTCGTGGAGACCGTATAAACCGAGGTCCCGTGTCGCAGTAGGTGTTGGCACGAAAAAGATCCCTCACTGCTCAATGGCCCTGAGTGCTGAGTATAGGTATGAATTTGCAGCCCTCCACAGGCAAGTGGTGGCGCCTCCATAAGAGTGAAAAATTCCCGAGAGGGACGTTAAACAACAAACAAAAAATATATATATATATACTCCTCCTACAAATTTAATGCAGTTTCTTACAGGTATACATTTACAGATGTAATAGAGGAATCTAATACGCCTCTTAAACATAATATATTTACCTACAAACGTATAATAATACAATTACTTAATACTCCTTTTACAAAAGTAACATAGTTATCCTGAACTCCCACAAATTTGAAAAAAAAATTTAATATCTAAAAATCTCGTAAAAATGTTAAAGAGTTAACTTATAAATATATAACTTACACAAATCGGGAGCAGAGCAAACACCGACCTCTAAAACATCAGAGGCGGGATCAGGTGCCATGGAGGAGTAAGAATCCACTGCTGACCAGTCACATCCGCCATGTGCTCCTTGTCATGATAGGAAAAACGGAAAATTTCGTAGACAATTTAGTAAGTTAATAATGGCCTAACAAATAGTATGAAAAACATCAGTCAGCATTCGATTGTATTTGCTGACGTCTTTGTATCGGCTTTACAACTTGCAAAATGTTGACTTCAAACGAGACTGTTGATATCCTTGTTTCATCAACTTATATGTCAATAGCTTTCCTCGTTTTAGAAATTGTTCGTACGTAGAGCATGCCCTTGGGTATCGAATCAACTGGGAGACATAAATTTTATATGCAGGTTATAAGGGTATATTGCTAGATAAATAGGAAAGGTGACGATAAAAAAGTTGAAGTCATCACGTTTATCGTAATGTTGTGTTGTTTGGTTACCTTTAACGTTCTTTTCTAGTAAAATATCCAAATATGAAACAGATTGTCAGACATTTAGTATCTTTTATTTCAAGTTCACTGGATATATCAAGTCGACATATGAATGGAATTAAACTATTCTTAATTGATAATACGTCATTGATATATCTAAATGTTGAGTTCAAGGTCACAGCAATTTTTTTTCTTCCTCTCATGTAGTTTTTGAATATATTCATTTTCATATGAAAATATCCATACTAGTAGGTCTGCTAATAAAGAGGAGCAAATGGTACCCCTGGGAATTCCTACAGATTGTTGGAAGACGTGGTTTCCAAAAACTCTAGATATTGTCAATTAGAAACTCAAGCATCTTTTTAATATCAACTTCAGAGTACTCGTGTGTACAATTTCAATGTTTTTAATAAAATTTTGTAAATGATCAATGACAGTGTAAGTAAATTTATTATGATTTTTAAAGATGTATTTGTGATTTGAACAATCATGAAAGAGGTTCATTTGTAACATGCACATATCCATATGTAATTACAAAAAACACTGGACAATACTTGAATTTTTTTTTACTTTCAATCCATGATAACTACCAGTGCTCCTGGTAAACATGTACCATCAACCATATCTTTGTGTGGCAAGTCTGACATTCTAATGTTTCTCTATTACAAAAATACGGCTACACAAGAATATTCCCAATTCCTATTAACTTAACCTTTGACCTTTATTTAAGACCCATATAGTCTTAATTTCTTGGCAAGTGCTTCAAACATATCAAGTATGAGCTTCTGATGCTAGAAACCAGAGTTTCACAATTCCAATACGTCTGACCTTGTTACAATGACATTGGTTTAATGTCTCCAAACACCTGTAAACATAACTATCTGAGAAAGAGGCAGAAATCAATTCGCCCATGATTTTCAGTAAGAATTGGGGGCAACCATTGACTATTTGATGGACATTATCAACAAAGCAGACAATGTACTGAATTGCATCATTAGGTCCAAGACTTTACAGTTGAAAGAGGAAGTAGTGATGAGATTGCAGGGAAAGTTTCATTTGTTTGACAGTCTGAAGTCATTGGATATATGTTACACTGATTTAAAAACTGGCTCGTTATTGAAATGGCTTTGTTAAACATAGCTGATTACAGAGCACATGTTCAAGATGTTTAAGTCTAACATTTGGGTCTGATCTACTCAATAAACCTCTACTTCGATTTTCATGGTTTCTTGTTTATTTAAAAATAAGCTTTAATTTCATTTACAATATAAATCATATAAATCAATCTGGATCATGAGACAGAATGAAATAATCAATACAACATTCATTGTAATTAAAATACCTAATCATTCCTGTAATTTTATGAGACACTTTGAGATGACATAAATCTAAATAATTGTCTATACTAATTACTGAAATATAAATTTGTTTCACTTAAAAAGCACATACACTGATCAATGATCATGCAGAAAAAAAATGGCCTGGTTAAATGGTCAATGTACTTGTAACGTTTTTTGCAGCTGTGCATATGAACTGTAATCACACACTTCCCTACATTACTTGATATCAGAAATGACTTGTATCACAATCACTTTCGAACACTTTCTTCCTTATAATGCAGCCAATTCCATCATGTAGGCCCCCAGAACTTTGGTCTACAACAAAACAGACCATACATCATGAGGATTAAAAGCTAATTAATATCACAAGTTTATCTTCGTTTCACACTGCAATTATAATAAAAGTACATTTTAATACTGAAATTTTCTTTTTAGTGCTTTCACAAAAGAGGATCTGAACTTGTTTCAAAACTTTTGTGAAATAAACTTTAATACTGTATAAGTGATAAAAGACAGAAAATGGTGAAATCAAACAGAGAAAAGTTCTGATAATTTGGTTATGGTAGGTCAATCCAATATAATCTGTCTTACTTGTAAATGCCTTATTCATAGAGCAAGGTTATAATTTTATATAAAAAGTTAATGATTTCTTTTTCAATGAAATTACACTTCAGCTCTCCTTTGTTGCATATAAAGTAAACAGTATCTTTTATTAGGAAAAATTTACCTGTACCTACTGATTTTACAAGGCCTGCCATTCTCAAAACACATTTAATAATTTAAAAAGTTTATTTTCAAAGAATTGATATGTGTTATATAAATGTACACATGTTGATTTAAAGTTCATCTACATGCTTTTATGTGTGTAAACCTACCCCCTTGATGTAGTTTGATCTGTCAATTTTCTCATTCTGAGAGTGAGCGCCATCATCACACGCCCCTATAGGCAGAAGCATCACATTCTTTCCCGTGGCTTCTTGAAAGGTCAAGGTCACCGGAATACTTCCTCCTTCCCTTGTTAAGTCTGGCTCAACACCAAACACTACAATAAATATTGCGTAATTATGCGATACAAAATGCAAAAATTTCCTAAATAATATCAGATTACAAACAATACATGTTAAATGCAAAGTCCATATGCATGCAAATACAAAAACAGAAAGTTAAAACTTAAACACAATGACTTTTAAAGTTCTCTTCATAAGGAAACAATCTACAGATTTCCCCATTGTGAAAAAAAATACCTGTTTTCATTGCTTTCCTGCCAGCTATATAGTTAGGGTCATTGAAATCACTGACCCATGGCTTTCCTCCATGGCCCATTGAGATCCTGAGAAGTGAGAAAAGAATTCCTACATTTGTCAGAATACAATCTAGTGTAGTCAGTTAAAGAGCTTCATAGCTCATGTTTCCAGTTACCTGTAAATAGTCTGACTATAAATAAAATTTCTTAATACTTAGCTACAATTATTTTTGACACTTCCTTGAATGAACAAAAAAATACTTTCACTAGAAAATTATGCACGGCTCATTTTGTCAACAAAGAATTGCTGAAGTATAGATATTATGAATTTCAAGGCTTTGTACTCAGTATTTCTGCTGCTCAAGAATAGTTACACCAATTTTAAGATCACTACCTTTTTTACATTCTTACTTAATTTTGTTTGGACTATTTCTCTCACTGAATTTCTTCTGAATATGAGTGTTGACAAGTTTTTCTATTTCATCTGGATGTTGATCAGGGACTAAACGAATGGAGAACTTTCCAATCACTTTCTTAGGTATCACTGTTTTAGCTCCAGCTTCGCTGAAAGCTCCCTCAATCCCTGAATAAAATAAAGTCAGATTTCCCCTGTCAGGTCTCACAAACAAAAACTAGATAGATATAATGGGGAAAATGAAACATTTTTTTTTTTCATTCCAATGATAAGCTGTACGCGAGTCTAATATGTGGTTGCAAATTACAAAATAGTGACTTTTTGTGCCTGTGAAATTTTTCCTACATTTTCCTACATAATCTTATAGTACATGTAATTCTTACACAAAGATTTCTTATTAATTGTATATGAGGATGAATAGGAGAGGGTGTACAGGGATTAAGAGGAGGGGGTTAAAGCTGCAAAGCTGCAAAGATCCTACCATGGATGGACAGTGAGGGGTATCTCCAACGATGCATTAAAATGTCTTCCTTTTTATTGTGGATTAAACTTGTCACTCCTACATCTTTCTTATACTCCTCCTACAAATGTAACATTTTCCTTAAATTCCTATAAATGTTATTTTATACTTCTTTAACAAATGTAATATCTATAACTATACTTGAGTCTTCTCCTATGTATCTATAAATTTAATTTAAAAGGGTTATACTCCTACAAACATAACAGTATAAGCATACATACTTATTACTTCTATTACACAATATATTTTTTATATCACACACAGAAAATCCTCTTTAAATTAATGTATCATGAAGATCAGATTATACATGATCAATTGTTAATAATACACTAAAATATCTAATCAGGATATTTTGTGATCACCCAACTGAATTTTCTCAACTTTCTAAAGTATTATTCTACTAAACATTAAAACATTCATAAAAGTTAATCATTTAAAGGAATGACAAAAAACAAGTTCATATATATACATTTGTGGTATCTCTCTATTATATAAACATGCAGAGAGCAAATATCTTCATACCTGTATGAAGTTTTTCGAAGGTCATAGGTCATTACGTGACTTAATCACACAGCGCAGTAATATCCACATAAAAAGACTTACTCCACTAAGCAATATAGCATGTTTTTCATGCATAAAAATGTACAAAATACGCAAGTAAAATAATTATCATTTTATTTACAATGTAAACGAGTATTTAATACAGTTCTTGATCTATTTTACATAGAGAATAGAAAACTACATGTTATAAGTTTCATGTCTGAGCTGCATAGTCTCAACGTTTAACGTTACCCTTATTTTTCTCGCAGACCTCTGAATGCTATAATTTTTTTCCATTAAACTTTACTCACAATAAATTTGAAAATCTGTTGAAAAATATCAATGTAATGCAATCACGCCACAAACAGCTGACAAACACTGCACTTTGGAAGTTCGGTAGGCACACCTCCATCATCGAGATCGTTGTAATGTTGTCTTAACAATATAAGCTGTCGCCAGTGTCTCCGTGTCAACATCATAAATTAATAAAAATGCCTTAATGAAATCGTAGATTTTATGTTTTTGATCAAATTTTGTACTTGATTTCAAGTTATCTGGTCCGGACAAGTGTCTCCATCCATCCCTTTCCGACCGAAATTCCTCCAACTTTTTAGTATCCAACATCGGACGTGTTTCTTGTGTTTTTTAACATCGAATATGGGTTCTCATGAATACAAAAATTCCCAGACACCAATATGCTCACTATAATAATTGATCACATGTAGCCTTTCACAGAATATTCCCTTCAAAACAATCCTTTGCCAGATGAATTTGAAGCGTAACCGCTTTTCAAGCCGATTTACACCTAGCATAATTTGTCAAAATCTACGACGTACAGTTAGTGCAATATTTATATTCGATTACATTCGATTGTCCGTCTCAAATGTATATATAAGTAATAAATAACAAGTTTAAAAACTTCAATGGGAATTGAAGTGGGTCGGTACGTGATCAAATCTTCTGAAAAAGGCCTTCGGCCTTCACAGGATTTGATCATGTGACCGACCCACTTCAATTCCCATTGAAGTTTTTAAACTTGTTATTTATTTCTTAATTAAATTTTCCACTTACAGGCTCAAAGTCAATGGGTTCATACAGCTTCTTTTCCTCTTCTGTCAGTTTGGCCACTGAATCATATATACCGGGAATCAGGATATGACCTTTACTATCCACCAAAGTGTTGAGGAGGGCAATAAGGTCAGCCATTCCTTCATGTCTGAAGATAAAACATTTTAAACAGTAAAACATTTACACAAAGCTAACACATAAATGGAAGGGGAGCTGAACAAATGGACATTTATCCTTCTATCCTTCTAGTTGTTCACCTCCATTTTTGGGGCCTGGACATATCCTTGGAAAAATGTATGGGTTTTAAAAATTTGTCTGCTAGGGGAACATCAATATAAAAATTTTAAACTGTCTATACATTTTCACTTTGTTTCTCTAACAGAAATACAATGTATCAACAATATGATACCAAAGATAAAATTCACTGCTCAGGTAAATGTGTTATAAAATGTTTGACTCACACTGTGCCCCCAAACACACCAGAGTGAAGGTCCTTAGTGGAGCATTCTACTTCCAGGAAGAAGTAGCAGATTCCTCTGTAGAAAAAAAAAAACATTCAGCTGGTCATATGGTAATTAATTTATATTATATGAATGTACTTTGTAAGCACACATAATGGTTTAACAAGAAAGATGTCAAAGTGCATTTATACCAAACAGTAAAAAGAAATATCCCTTCCCTCTTTGATCTGGAGTAATCCTTTATGGAATTCATGAAGATGAAATAAGAGCAAAATAAGAAAAAAGGGGAAATTCTAGATCATATGGAAGGTCAAGGTCAAAAAATTCTAACATACTTTAAATGCTCTCACCAATGTGTATCAATTTACAAAGAACTGCGAACGATAGTATTGTTCTCCCGCCTACCTCCAAGTCAATTTTCAAAAGTTAAAGTATTCGAATGATTTTTAATATTTATATTGATATTCATATGGATTTTCATGAAACATTACTTATTTGGGAAAACAACGAGAGATAACTCTAAAATTTTGGTAAAACTCGTGTTTTTCACTATAGAAATCAACGGAAAACGAAAAATATTTTTAAAACATCTTTCCCCCCCCCCCCCCCCCCCCCCCGTGAAACAAAAATTCCTTTTTACGGGTAATATGGACTGTCATTTCACAAATTCATACCAAAGCTTTTTGTGTTTCACGGGGGGGAACATATGTTTATATACAAAAAACAACAAAAATGCTTATTTTTTCAGCAATTTCCAAGTGCTTTACAACTGAAACATTATATTTTACTAATATATATGCTTAATTTTATATGCATAAAACATAAGAAAAGATTTAAGAAACATTTATTCATATCCAAGACTATTTCAGAATATGGTGATGCTTTATAGCCCGATTTCTGTGGAAAATATCGTCTACCCCCCTTATTTCAAACGCTGGAATTAGGGATATTTTACTATTTAGCACTGGAATTAAAATAATTAATCAATTACCATTGAACTGTTCTTTGTATTAAACAAAGATTTTATGGCCAAATTGTCATCAATATTGAATTAAATGGTTGTAAAATGTAGGCGGGAATCGGGAGTTACCGTGCGTAGTTCTTTAATGAAAATATCTTGAATACTTTTTTTTTTTAAAATTAAGTAACCGCAACATGAAGGAGAAGTGGTAAAGGTCTTTGGAAAGGTCAAGGTAAAAAATAATAACACAGTTGAATTGCTGTCACTGATTTGTATTAGTATATGAATTGAAGTTTGATGAAATACATACATATGTATAAGGGACAGTTTCTTCTAAATTATGCTAAATACAAAACAATTAAAGGTGAGGTCAAGGTCATATAGGAGGTGAAGGTCAAAGATTTTTTAAAGTTGAATATCTTTTATCCATTTGTATCTTTGTATGAAGTTTGATGAAAATATCTTGAACAAATTTCTTTGAAATAAAAAGATGCAAAATGAAGAAGTCAAGAGTGAGGTCAATGTCATTAGAAACGTCGAGGTCAGAAAACTATGACACAATTTAATTGTGATTACTTCCAATTTATATCTTTGTATGAGGTTTGATGAAAATGTTTTGAATGGTTTCTTTATAACTAGAATAAATGCAAAATGACAAATAGTTGGGTCAAGTCATGGGAAAGGTCAAAAGTCATAAATATTATTATACAGTTGGATAAACCCCACCAATATTTATCAGTCTAGGAGTTTGATGAAAATATAATAAACAGTTTCTTCTAAACTGTGCTAAATGTAAAATGAGATCAAAGTCATTGTTAAAATGATGACATCATTGAATAGCTCCCGTCAATATGTATCAGTGTATGAGTTTTGATAAGAATATTTTGATTAGTTACCTTGAAAATGAGATAAACACAAAATAGGGAATAGTGAAGTCAAGGTCACAGAGAAGGTCAAGGTCAGAAAATTATGCCAAAATTGAATAGCTCTCATCAATATGTATCGTTAAATGAATTTCATTTCAAATATCTTATTTGAAACTGAGCTAAACACAAAGTATGAAGAACAGACTGACAGAAGGACTGAGATGGAAATGACAAACACTATATCCCCTGGCCATATTCATGGCAGGCATAATAAAACTTTTTCACTTTTTCTAATCTTAATCTACATATACTGCGTGCAAATGAAAGTAAAAGTTACATTGTTGTAATTTCATATCAAAGATCCCTTCGTAACAGAATTGAGCATGCCTCATAATCTGGTTTTAAATGAGAAAATTTTTCTAACCTACCTTAGACCATATGTCAAACATGGTTTTTTCTTTCCCAACCAGTAGTTGTCAGATATGCAAACAAAGTCGACATCCTACAACAGAGAGCACCTACATGATTATGTTAAGTCCTATAAGTGCTTTTTAAGTTTTAATTAATATCAGTATCAGTTAATACCTATTTGTCTTGGAAACAATTCCCCGTGTATTACCTTAAGGAATGTGTCTTTCCTTGAGAGGACAAGATCATCTAGGCCTTCTGATCCTGATTCTTCCATTCCCTCAAATATAAACTGTAAACAAAATGTGAAATGATGTGACATAGAGACAGACAGACAGACAGTCTATTTGTTCACTCAATGTCAAAGGTCTTAAGACTAGGAGAAGGAAGTATGCATTAAATAGATTGATACTTAATTTAACTGCCTTCATTGTCTTAAAAAGTTCTAGTTAAGTTCTAGTTAAGAAGTAGACAAAGTTCTCAAAAGAAGAATGGATAAAAAGAGGATTTTATGATTATTCTCAACATGTGGAAAATAATTTTAAATAGATCTAGCTTGATTAACAATTAGTTTCTTTAACTAGTACTGGTACCTTTAGGTTGATTGGAATTTCCATTCCTATTTCCTGCATGGCTTCAATACAGTTCAACCAAGCCAGTACTGGTCCCTTACAAGAAGGAGGTACAGTCATGTTTACATCAGGTATATTATACAGAAAGAATCAAAAATACAGTTGAACTTCATTACTTCAAACACTGATATCTTGAATGCCAGGGATATGTCAAAGTGAGTTGGCAGTCCCAGCCAATTTTTTTATCTAAAATCTTCAGATATCTTTTAAGTTCAATTTTACGTCCAGCAAAGTTCAAGATAACAGAGGTTTGACTGCATGATAACCTGTTATTCTAATACAAAAAAAACTTATTCATTTTTAAATTGATTTTACTGTTTTTATGAATGAAAACTGCATTGAACAACATTTCAAAAAAAAAAAAAACATAAAAAAACAAACCCAACTTAAATTTCCCTGCCTACTCAAACACCCAATCATAAGAATGTCATGTTTGTTTACATGAGTGGAAAGTACTAACCTTGTCATCAGTACTACCTCTACCATATAACTTTCCATCAATCTCTGTCAGGATGAATGGTTCTGTGTCCCAGCCATCCTCCTATACAGGAAAATACAGGTAAAGTCACAAGTTTTCCTGTCATTACAAGTCAAAGATAGCATACTTGATACAGCCCCAAATAGGAAGCAAACAAAAGGAGAGGTACTGTATATATATAGTTATCCTATGGTGTATACAAAATGAAACTGCTGCATTTATTCTAGAATACCTTATGGAAATTGTGTTTGATGAAAAATTTTGAAAATACATGTACTTTTTTGGCTGGCTGCACATCCAGATGACCATACACCAGTAGTGTCTTCTTTTTGGGGTCTTTTCCCAGGGTTCCAAGAAGAATTGGTGGGAGAGGAAGCTTGGATCCATCTGGTAACGTCTGCTCTCCAATTTCGGCTAACTCTGTTGTGGCACCTATTTTCTCAAATCCCTGTTGATAAAGAATAAATATTGCAGATTTTTTGATTTATTTCATAAGTAAAAATGTCAAAAAGAGTAGACCTTAATCATCTCAATATGTTGATGTGATTAGAATTTAAATCAACAAAACCCATCTTTCAATTCTCACCATTAGTCAACACTTTCCTATCATAGTCTAAATTTATCATAAGTAAAAAAAAAATTGTCTATTTCTGCCACAAATTTATTCATTTTTATTTCAGGTATATATATATATATATATATATATATATATATATATATATATATATATATATATATATATATATATATATATATATATATATATATATATATAAAGTTTTCTTTCTCAAAATTATATATTGTTTGCCACAAAGGAAGCAATAGAGGTGATGACAGATTTAGTCCATAGTACTAAATAGTGGTCTATTAGTCAGATTGTAGTAACTTACAGCCTTCACCCATTCCACCATAGTCGTGATATCAGGGCGAGTCTCGGGCCATGCTGACACACTTTTGATTGCCACTGTATCTGCCAGTCTCTTCACATATTTGTCTTGATTATCATCTATCTGTCTGTCAAAACAAAGAATTTCACTGTTGTGTTAGATGTATTTGTGAAAGTAGATGTTCTGAATGGAATTTCACAAGGTTCTGATACACAATATTTTGTCTCCTTACAATGGATAACATGACTTGAAACATACAGTATGTATAAGAGGATGACCATTTGATACTGAAAGTGTGTGTGTGGGGGGGGGGGGGGATTATTGCAACATACAAGGGTAGAAGATTTTGTTTTCTGGTCAGGCAAGGACAAATTTATTTTCAATATTCTCTAGGACAGACAAATTATTTCCAGAATCTGTCCACTTTCATAATCAAATGGTTGTCCCCTTATGCATTTTTGAAGCAAAACTTAAGACCTTAGAAATAGCATTTAATACTAGGAAAAGTAAAAATTAAGGATTAATAACACAAACAAACTTTTTTCACAAATAAGCAATATCTCTCATAGATTAATATTCAAATAGGTAACCTGTAAAATGTTTGCTATGTAAATTGGGAGAATTTTGTACGATTTTGTCACAATGTTAAAAATATGTGCAAAATTTTGTATAGAATTACATAAAAAGCAATACAAAGTCGCATATCTAAGTACCTAAGAAAACTTACGATTTCTTTATATTTTAGGAATTTTTTATTTACATCATTTCTAATCAAATTCAGTCAAAAAATATATGTTAATCCATGCATCAAATTTTTGTTTGTTATGTATCCTTAAGACATTTGAAATAGCATAATTAGGAAAGAATTAATTTTTACCAATGTACTTGTATATGACTATAATCTTTGTGCAAAATCTTGATAAAATGGAGACTCCTTTATCAAGACTTCTACTTCATGCTTTAAAAATTGTGTGAAAAAATTAATCCACAAATTCAGCAATCTTGATATAGGCTAATTGTAAACAATAAGTATTTAAAAATCATTTGGTGACAGAGGATAGTTTTTTTTCTGCAATCAAAACATTTGGCTTATGTTTTCCATAGTACTGAGCTGATTGTAAAATGTGCATTTCATCCCTTGAACCACCCCCCCCCCCTTTTCTGGGGACATAACAGACTTTAGTTACACATTTCCATTCCAAATCTTATGAATGGTACTCATGGTAGTTGTAACACCAAAGTGTATATCGTAAAACACAACCACTACCCTCCAAAAGAGTTATGAATTATTCTGGCAAATATGCATTTTAAACCTTGGGTTTTACCTATATTATCAAATATTTGACTGGTAATTTTTCCAAAACGATCCTCTGTCACCTTTACTGCGCATGCTATGGGAAGATCCATCTGATTAATGACTCGTACTCATGTAGACCGTGTGATTCTACTTAGAGATGATTAAAGAACGAGATTAAATTTGACATTTTTTTTAATTACTAGATCTACATACTTTGCAGAGATAAAAAAAAAGGAATTCATCGCTTTGTTTATATTGTTAAATTTGTTTTTGATAAAGTGATTTTTTAACTTTTACTAAACATGTTCTGCACATGTCTGCATATGACATGTGGGCGTCAAAATTCACGGGTATGACTGAGCATCCGAGTATTAAAAGTCAGACCCAAGAAGTACACAGCAACACAAGCAATACTGTATAAAATAATTTATAAAAATGCATATTTACTTGAACAGTTTGGCAGCTGCCATTTCTTTCGTTATCCCTCTTGAAGATGTCAACGACACACTGTGAGAAGCAGTCCAAACCGGATGTAGACCTCGAAAGCTAAATCGAAAGTAGATTTTTGTTGTTGTTGTTTTTTCCTACTGCTAGCCGTTAGTACATGTAATTTGTAAAGCACACTGAAATCATACAACTTTTTAAAAGTATTGCGCTGCAGAATTTTTTGTGTTAGTCATGCAATTTCACATTTTTCAAAAAGTTATATTTTTTCCTCCTAACTGTCTCCTGTACCGAGTTGTCGTTCTTTCCTCTCCGTATGGCAAGTCAAACGGGTAGAGTCTATAACATAACCCAGTCACGGTTTTCGGGAAAATTATTTCCGGTATGCACACTGCTCAACGCGTTATCGGCTATTCGGTTGTTATCGGGCATTCGGTGGATAACAACTTTTGACAGGTTATTAAATTGTTGCAAATAAAAAACTATAAAAATAGAAACAGAGACTGTTGATTGTGCTTTCTGTGAACAAGGATGAATACAGATACAAAATAAAGCCCCAATATATCCTATTATAGTATTTGTAAGTCTTGAGAAGACTTTAAAAGTTAAATTTGTTATATTTTGCAAGTTTTTGGCCGATTGGCATTGCTGCATATAGCCCCTTTCTTCAAAGTCCTTATATTTACCTCACATTAATTATTGTCCACAATATGACATCGTCAGAATCTCGCAAAGATGTGATTAAAGGGTAAAAAAAGCCATTTTTTAACTTTCAGGATGTTATCGGAAATGCGGTTGAATGGTTCACTTTGTTATCGGATATTTCGGTTTTAGTTATCGGAAACAAAGGTTGTCATAGGTTAGGAAAAATCTAAAGAAACAACAAAAATCTTCATTAAATCTAAATATTTAAAGTGGCAAAAACACAATTTTAATTTTTGGATATCATTTGTCTCTTTTTAGAATATGTAACTTTAAGAAAAGGAGTGTTTTTTGATCATGAATGTTTTAGCATTTCTCATAATCACTGAAATATGTATGATCTTGACCTGTTCGAAAATATCGTATTAGTTAACTCTCTGAATTATAAATCTCTGTTGTAACCAAAATACAAATGCCAAATTTATTTATTGAGATTCTTACGTTGCATTATGCGCAATATAAAAGCATCGCAATAATTGCTGAATATTCACAGTAATTCACTCTTAGTTGTTTGTGTGTTGCCTTCCAGTTACGCACTGTTCTTCGCTTATGTCTCTTTTACTTGCTTCGTTTTTATTCCTTGACTTTGCATTTTTGATCTCCCCTTAACCGTCGTTGTTCCTTTTGTTAGAACTAAGTACATACATGTATTAGTTTGGTATAAAGCAATTAAAGAATCTAAACTCAAGGGTGGTTAAATGAATTTTCCAAAATTAAGGGTGTTAGACAAAATATGACCAAGAATTCCAACTTTAGAGAAAATAAAATGACTTTACTAGTTTACAAAAAGCGTTACTGACGGAAAGAAACTATTTTTAATGAAATATAAAGATAACTTATTCAAGTTCAAAAGTCTATTGAAACAGCATACATTTGGAGCAGAGTAATCACGGAATTCTAACAACATCAGATGTTGTTTCAGGGGCAAAGAAGGGATAAGCATCCTGTCGACCGATCACACCCGCGGTGTGCTCTTTGTCATTATCGTCCGAATGGAAAATCCGTAGACAATTCAATGTGTAGGTGGAGCTCATATTCGGATTTACGATAGGGGTGTCGGGGAGGTTCGGACCTCACCTGGAATTTACAGAGTTATATTGAATATTTATAGTGAAGCAAATAAAAAAGAAAAAAATCTTGGCATACCCCTTTCCCCATTGAAAATGCGGATCAATGATTGTAGAAAAGGTTAAACATGTGAAGAATTGAAGTGAATCGACCAGCAACCCCCCCCCCCCCCCAATAGGTATTTTTAACATTTGGGAAATGAGTTCGACGTTTTTTTAAAAATCAATTTTATTTATTTTTACTGAACAATGTTTTTGTACAAGGATAGTCTCCCTAATCTAATACATACCTAATTATAACAAGAAAGAAATATTTCTTTGCGGTATATTTGCACCTCATTCGATTTCCTCTATTTCAAACCTTAAAATGATTTGATACAAACAATACTATCGCTCTGTATTGGACAAAACAAACTTTTAGCTCATTGGGGCACTTGAAGTGACGATGTTTTTGCAAAAATGACATAATAGATCGTAAGACCTGCCTAACTAAAGAAACTATAGATTTGTTGTATACATGCACATTTACGTCTGAAACCGATGGAAGCCAATAGTGGCTATCTTTAAAGGAAAACAGAAAAATGATTGAACAGATAAGTAGTTCTATTATAAAATCATAATTATAATTATTTACATGTATATCAAAAAACTAACAATGGACAGCTAGAAAATTTTCAAAAATCACTTAAAAAGCATTACGTTTGTAATTTTCAAGGATTGACAGATTATAATGGACTTTTTTCCAATCTATTTCTAAAGCTGAAGGAAACTTTTTAACCTGAGTTTCCGATAACTTACACCCGTAAAAACCGAATTATCCGGCAACATCAACCTTGTTGACGATAACATGTTTTGACCTACCGAGACATTTTAGATGCCTGTTAACTAACCCTTAATTTGGATTTTTGATCTCAGTCTGCTTATCTATAGGTATGTGATTGTCTATAGAATATATAAACTATTCTGTTTAATAAAAAAAAATGAAAATGACTTCTACAAAAGCTTAAATGTGATGAAATATTCCGAAATTTTTATAAAATATCATTTGAAAGAGTTGTAGATCTTTTGAAAGAGAGTGATTTGGTTTGTATTTTTTGCTGCTGAAAGTATAATCATATATCTGCCAACGATCACAAACTTTTTTTGCTGGAGTACGCAATTATCGTTGAATTAAGAAATTTAAAATCACCTACGTTTTGTAAACATTGCTTTTCTTGCACCGAATGCCCGATAACAACCGAATTGCCGATAACGCGTTGAGCAGTGTGGTATGGTTTTTTGTAATATAACGCATATTCGATCCCGATGCAATATAGTTTTGTAAACACTATGGTGTGTGGTAAATAATACGATCAATAGCCATAATCGGAGTCTTAATATTAAGACATTCAGGCGAATGAACGACTTTCACGAAGGTTAGGGTATTTAATAGTTATAACATGATAAATTAATAGATTCCGTTTAGCCACTGGTAGAACTAGTGACCTAGTTTGTAGTAAAAAAGTGACTCCCATCAAGCCACGAACCCCGTTTTCACTTAGATCCGACACTAATTTAGTGTTTCGGCGGTGTGATAACAGGCCAAGCAATAAATAGATATTCTATACTAATTATAATTAGTTATATAAGTCCGCTATCATCAGGAATCCACTTATATATATCAATATTGTATATTCATTTTATTTGTTTTATTATATACCGGTATGTTCTTTTTAACTAGTAGAACCGGTAAGGGAATTTCCCAAGGTCACGTAATGTTTAAATAATAAACACAGATGAAAGTTGTTTGTGTAAATAAATATGCTCGAAAGCGATAAATTGTTAACTGTCTCTGACTGAGATATGTCAGTAAATGATATGGTTGATTACATTGTAATTGACCAGTAAGTGAGACTTTACTAACTTTTATTAAAGTTTTGAACTTGTTAGGAGATCTCCTAAACTCCTGTGTTTTTTATATGCTATAATTGGTTTGTCTTTGAATATATCTTTGAGTTCGGGCTCTCTTGATAGAGTGTGCCAGTATTTTAGCAATTTCTTTTTGATATTGCTAATGGCTGGGTTGTATTTTGTAACCATGACCAATGGTATATCAGAATTACTGTTAACTTTCTTTTTTTGATTTAAATGGTCTCTTTTGTAATTTTCTAGAACATTGTTCATTGAACTGTTAATCTCATTTTCATTATATCCTCTTTTCAACAGAGAAAATTTGAACTTCTCGATCGCATTGTGAAAAATATTAGAATCGCTAGTATTGCGTAAATGACGAATGATTTCGCCTTTAATAATTCCCTTGAAAACAGAAGGGCTATGTGCACTATTGCGTTCCAGATACTGGAAAGTATTAGTAGGTTTTATGAAAGTTTTGACATCAAGAATTCCTTCTAATTCAAATCTTTCTCCCTTAAATAGGGTGATGTCAAGGAAGTTCATTTCTTTGTCAGAAATTTCATATGTGAATTTTAAAAGAGGATGATGTGAATTTGCTATTTGGAAAAATTGATGAATTTCATCCATTTCCCCATGATAGATTATAAATCTATCATCTCGATATCGACCGTGATAAACAATATTATGTTGAAATGGAAATTTGTTAAGAATTTCCGAAGTGACTTCATACATTCTGATATCGCACACTTCAGGACTGCATTTTGAGCCCATTGCGTAGCCTATAATTTGTTTATATTTCGTAGAATTAAATTCAAAGACATTATTTTCTAATATTGTTTGTAACAACCACAGAAGATCATCTGTAGGTGGCGAAGGAATTTTAAATTCTCCTTTGTTGAATTTAGAGTATGCTTCACTGACAGCTGTGAGTAATTCGTTGAACTGCATATTTGTATACAGGGATGTTACATCATAACTGACCATTATGCATTCTGCTTGCGGTCTAAGTTTTTCTTTTTTTATTATGAAATCAGAGCTATCTCTGATGTAAGTGGATTGTTTTTTGACTATTGGTATTAGGAAGTAATCAACATATTGGCTGATTCGTTCCGTCGCCGACCCGCATTGCGAGATAATAGGTCGTGCCGGGCAAATGATTTCTTGATTGTAGTGGCCCTGTTCTTTGATAAGATCAAACATCGTCTGATCTAATTTGTGAAGTTTAGGTAGTAAGTATAATCTACCTATTCGTGGATACGTAATATCCATTAAAAATCTATATGTAACTTTATCTAGATACCCATTTGCCTTAATTTCATTGATTTTATTTTCAATATTCCTTTGGAGCAATGATAAATCAAAATCGTCAATTATTTCGTAATATTTAGTGTTCAACTGGCGATCGCCCTCCTTAATATAATCGTGTTTGTTCATAACAACACATATGTT